CAGGCAAGGTCTATGAATGCATTAATTTATTACTGTTCTGTTTGATCATGTATTTTGTAAATGTCTTATCAAACATCAGCTCTAAATAAAATATATCACTATTTGTGATTAACGAGAATAAACTTCTTCTCCTCTCCTACTAATGTTTGATTGGCATTCTCGTTTACCACTCTTCACTTGGTTGTAGTCTAGCTTGATAACGGTGTCGGAATCTACATAGAAACGTCGCTATAGCCAATAAACCAGAAATTGTTAGCCATAAAGTACGTTTTCTTATTTTTCTCTCCTACTACCTCCATGATCTGTTTTATATGTATGTATTGTTTAGAAAAAATATATACTCCATGTATTACATTAACAAACATAAATATCAACCTCAGGCTGTAATTGACAAGTGTTCTGAATTTAGACCAGCCATCTTTAAAGTTTTCAGGTCAATATCTTATTGAATATTTAGATCGAACAGAATACCGCCATGTTAGCTGTTAAAATTGTGCCCCACTGTAATATAACTGTAGTTACATGTTTAACAATCGAAGCCTTCCGTTAAAGTATAATGTACTGATATGATTCCGTTACTCTATCGTGTGATCAGCCCACCCCCAACCTCACCCAACCCCACCCCACCCACCCACACCCATAAAAACTGGAACCCATCACACCAGATCTAGTCAACTACCCTAAAAGCGCCACCGCAGCCACCGCAGCCACCCCACCCAATCTGCACACTCAGTCGCGGCTTCGGCCATATCGAAGGTAAAGCATCACATCTTTTGTATTTTGAAATGTACCTGCGAAACTCCTTCAGATCAGTCTCTTTACTCGTATCTGGGGGGTCGCATCTTTGAAGTCACACCATCATACAAACTTCATAAAACGGGCTTAAAGTTCACACTTACCAACACCACCATCAACGTGTCAATGACAAAAGCTTCCTAAAACATCATTTAAAAATAATCTAACATTTTATCAGATGACATCCTAATCCACCATCATTAAACCGTATACCGCAAACTTGAAGCGCTAATGTCGAGCAACATCCCGTGGATCTACCAGAGGGGACATCACCCGTATGAACCCACATTATCTAACGGTAAATCAGAAGGCCTGATAGATCAACTAAACATGGAGGATTAGTTGTCAACAGCTGACAACATTTGACAACATGATCAATGCAATGAACATCGCTTCCAACCACCTGGGAAGTCACGTGAGGGTTAGATTTGCTGTCATGTCCGTCTCGAGATCAGCTGTTACAGGACTGTCAATTATGTGATTATGTGCATGCAGAAAGGTTAATCAGTCGATGATATATCTAACGAATTTTGTGTAGGTTTCTGACCCGGAAGGGTAAGTCGTTGTGACATTTGGTGGCTGGACGTTTGATTTCGATATTTCATAATGGTTTCTGACACAGACGCAAGGGATCTGGTCTGTTCTGATACAAAAAAATCTAAATGTCATGAATGCTGATTAATATTTCCCCAAATTACAACAACCGCTCGATCATCTGTTACAGCACCAGCTGCAATGTTGTTGTACAACAGCATTTCTGTTGGTAACAGCTGTTCAGACACATCGTTCGTGTTACGTCGTTGTGACGTCGATGCTTCGCTTCAAACCAAATGAGTAATTGGGTTTTGTTCTGTGGTGTATTGATGACACCAAATGATCAGCGGTGATTGAAAACATATGTTTTACTCAGTGACAAGTCTACCTATTCATATAATAGCTGCATATTAATTGATTGGTACCCTCATCCTTACAAAGTTTATATGTTATCATCTATTCTCAAATCCATCCCCACGCCTTCCACACCCCTCTCCCACTTTTTCCGCTCTCCCCTCAACCCGTGGTCCAACACGAGCTGCCCCCTCTCCCCGGCACCCCCACTCTCATAACCCCCACCCCCTCAAACATACCCAGTCACTTATACGCTAATCTCTCCCTGCGCTACTTCGCACATAATCTCCCATCACCATCGGTACTTTTTGATATTGACATGTACTGAACGTTCTGGGTGACAGGACCTAATACATTACATGTACATTTCAGATGAAATTGATTCGTGTATATATGAAAGACATGACAATCCCGCCTCTAATCTAGGCCTATCGGCAAAGCCATCTACCCTGGGGCTCAACGAACTTGCGTGTTCATCGGGTTCACGGCTGCCTGTCAGTGAAGGGTTGGGGCTGACGGGGGGGGGGGGGGGGGGGGGGGGGGGGGGGGGGGTTGGGGGGGGGGGGGGGGGGGGTTGAGGGGGCAAGGTGTCATGTCAATATCTGTCGTACGGACTCCTGATCAGGGGAGATAAAGCACAACTGAATACGTTCCAATTTACCTCTGTTGTATGATCTGTTACGTTTTAAAGGTAGCCATCGATCATTCATTTCAAGCGCCGCTTATGTCCAAAGCGAGGCTTACTTTAAGCGTCGTGGGCTTTTTTAACCAAAAGTCGTTTAAAAATAGCTTTCAATAAGGAAGATGTATTGTTGTTTCGTACACACCTGTGGATGGGAAAACAAAACAAATGTCGATTTCAAGGTCCGTGAATCTGTGATTGGTTATTTGGTGACGGACTACTTTCCGGATCGCAGTGCATTGATAGGTTTAACGCGCTTGTGTCGAATGCACCTACGTCTGTGTCGAAAGTTCAAGAGTTTTAGTGTGTTTAATATATGTTCTTTCATCATATCCAGATTACACTAGCACCATTGTCTTGACAATCCACAGAAACTTTTTTGGGTCGATGGAAGGTCACACTGAATATGAGTAAGCAGTAAGTCGGACGACTATTGTGTTAGGTATTAATGCGACCATGAGAATCAAACGATCATGAGAACAGAAAAAATATGCATTTTTTCGATGAATTGTGCAAGAAATAGATTACTGCACTCGTGCCATTTATCTTACAACTCGTTTTTTTCAAAACCTATCTGAGTCGCTATCGCTCGTTAGATACGTTTCGAAATTACTCGTTGTAAGATAAGATGTATCTGACAGTCATGTAGTAATTTCTGTGTAAACACAGAGGTTCCTGTAAAAAGGGATTTCAGTATTGTGGCGTTTTTAGTTCACGTGTTACTCGACGTCTTCAAGCCTTTGGGTATCTCTCAATAGCTTCCTTTAATTTAAACAATGGCATTTACTTATTCAAAGGTTATGGTTAGGTCATGGATTTGTTTTAACTACCACAAGAAACTAAACCTACCATTTTTTTAACGATGACAGTACACAATGCTTGATCTGAAGAACCATTTATTTAACCGTGTTTTTAAATCGTATTTTTTTTAAATGTTTTTATTTTTTAAATAATTTTAAAACGTTAATTGTAAGCAATGATAAAAAAATCTTATTTTGTCAGATTGATACTTTCTTTCTATGTAATGTGTATAGTTTGGAACAATAAATAACGATGCATTAAATATTCATAATTAAACACATAATTTACATAGAGAAGAACCATTGCCGGTTGCATGGTTCACAGTGGTCAAATGTCCCACACGAGTGACCTCCCTTTGACCGAAAGATTCACAACACAATATGTTTGTACTGCCATTCTGAAACGGTAGTAAAATACTGTCTTATTGCCCACGAACAATCGATTTGACAGCACATACATAATACAGGCAGTCTACTTGTGAAATATATCAACACCGAAGACCCATTTAACGTTAGGTCATAACGATTCTTAAATCCAGGGTTTTTTTCTCAGCTGAGTTGAAGTGAACTTTCAGGCGAACGAAGGCGGTAACATTGCAACCTTCTTGTCTTTTATAGAAAGAAAAATGTTGTGCTTGACAAGGTAACAAAGAAAACAGAAATATTAAAATATACAGATAATATAAATCGCAAAGCCGTTAATTAATTTCAATATAGCTATCATCTTTTAAAAATGGTGAGACATATTAATTTCATTATTGTGAAAAATATCATATAACATATGAGTTAAATTATAATTAAAATCCCCACGTTTAAATTACAGAACAAAGTACAGCGAGTGAGTATTGTTTTACGCCATATTAAGCAATATTCCAGCAACATCAGAGCTTGTGACACCAGAAGTGAACTTCACATTGTACCAATGTTGGGAATCGAACCCGGTTTCCAGCACACGCGTTACCCATAGAGCTAATCCACCACGCCTTGAATGAAAAACAAAATTCAACAGAGCCGAAGACCGACCGCGTTTATTCTGTCTCTATTCAAATTAACATCATTTGCATATTCATCATCACGTACAGGTGAAAATGTAATTCTCTTCGCTTCTAGGAAACACACTTCAGGAGTGTCAGGATAAATAGTATAACCTAGGTGTGTTTATCAGATCGACGTACAGGCAGAAACACATATTTGAACATTTAACTTCACAAAAGTTTAATTCGACTTGATTACTGAGCAGAACTCATACTTTTGCACAGTGATAAAAACAAGAATGCGAGAAGTTCCACAAAACAGTTGTGGATTCACAGAGGGAGATAACTCGTACCAGACTAAATATGATTCGAAAACACGTTTGAGGGAGCGACCATCTGATATTGTGGCAGACAAATTCTCTTTTTTTTAAGTCTGAAGCAGGAGTATTCTTTTCAAAAATTCTCGGGGACAATTCAATTTTTTTCGATAAAATCCCCTACCGGTCGTACAACAAACGCATCTGAGACGTAGAGATTCCATGAACTACAAGCTTCAGCAACCGATGCCAGTTCATTCATCTGTAACAGATACTAATATGTGACACGATGAGGTAATTCCGCATATCTATGACATCATCTGCGCGCTAGCTAAAGCAATCTGTTCGTTCATAATTTTTCCAACGAAATGCCCGTCATTGCTAAATTAGTACACACAGGTATTAGGCGTACGATAAGTTAGAATTGATCGGCTACTGAATCAGATCGTTGATATATTCAGTTGAGCATTCGTCGTTGATGTTTATAGTATTCATGCATTTATACTATGATTTCATATTAATAAACTCAATGTTTACATTGCAGATATTATCTTCACACAGACACTGATTTCGCGTTGACCAGGTAAGTTAGTATATTTATATTGAGGTTTTTTTTACGCCGCTTTTAGCAATATTCTAGCAATATAACGGCGGGGGACACCAGAAATGGGGTTCACACATTGTACCCATGTGGTGAATCCGGTCTTCGGCGTGACGAGCGAACGCTTTAACCACTAGGCTACCCTCCGCCCTACATTAATATGAATAATCACAACAATCACACATATTTATGATACAAAGGAGTGCGTTATGATCCCCTTGGGACTGAAAAGAAGAAATGTGCCGCCAGGTGTTTTCAGCAATATGAAGAAGAACATCACAACGATTTAATCATGTCTTTATTTAATGCATTTATTATAACGTTTACAAACTTTCATCATAAACGATGTTTTAATAATTGTTTTATTTGTATGATATAGGTCGCTTTGAATCTCTATACATGTAGTATACAGTAAATTAACCATTTGTCACAGGTTGATATACATAGAACGTTAATGTCAATACATCACGAATTGGTACTAAATATATTATGATAGAATACAATCACTTGTTTTGTTGAGGAAATGCAAATATAGCAATGTTTTGGGGAATAATACTTTTATACTTTTATAAAGTATACACTACTTGATATTGAAATTGTACTGTTCGGCATTTATATGAGAGTTGTATGGAAGTATAAACATGGTAGTGACTGACATTTTTTTTTTTATTTCAACATTGTATTGTCTCACGTACCGATTCTTCGTACCGAGAGAATTACTCAATATAATGTCCAGCAAACGGATTCATTTAACCGTATTCAAACAGTTTTCAAATAAGGAATAGTAGTTATTAACTATATAGCAGAAATGAATAAATCTAATATTTAAGTTACCACAACAAGGCCGTAGTTAACTTTATACTTTATTTGACGGGGGTGGGTGTGGCTGTTTTCTATTTTTAAAAATCCCCCCCCCCCCCCCCCCCCCCATAATTAAACTCCATATGTTGTTTAAACCTTTTGGATTTTTTTGTTTACACTTACTTGACGAAGTCTGTGAGTCCTTTTTGTCACAATAATCCATATCCGGGTCACATACACGCCCCCCGAAAGGTTAAATCGAGAAATACATAATTTATAACTATGTGATATGTTCTATATTTACACGAGAAATGACACAGACAAATATGTTTGAACTGAACAAAACGATCGAGCGAGGCAGAGACGTTAAAATTAATGTTTTACATATTGAAATGAGACATTATTGATATTGTGAGTAACGTTTCAAAACTTTAACCACTTCATCTATACAAATAGCATTTGCACACTTAGCACCACTATGCTGTCGTGTACATATCATAGGCGTTGAATAAACACGAGTGAAATCTACATCAGTCAATTCCAGACTGCCACACGTGACTCCACGCGCAATACATGTCGGACAAAATCGCAAGGACATGTTATAGGTTGGAAACACATTCTTTAACACAAACTATCCACAACGTACACATTCTGATAAATCACCAATCTGTTAGTGTCCGATACGCTGGCATATACATTCAATAACAGTGCTATGAGTTACCTTGCGGAGAAGATCAAAGCCCATTGAAAACTAACTTGTCATGAAATGGACATCTGAGGGCTTTGAATGTACCTGACAAACTGACAACCCTTCGTCCGTTGACACATTGTAAGGAGCAAGGTGTAGTACTGATATATACATGTGTATATTTCAAGAATAGCCACAAGGCTTATGCAGCCGCACTCGATAATGGGGAAGGTCAGTGGAAGCAGGCTGAAGACGGTGTTCATATCAATGTCGTTTTCATACCCTTGTCATTCGACATGCCGACACGTGTCGTTTGATCCGATGTAGATGTCAGCATGATTGATGAGTGGAATAATTACTGTTGATAGCCAACAGGTGTACATTTGAAAGCAATTCGTATCTTTCTTGTAATCCCTGTTGCTCTTTGTAAAGGCACGATTTCATTTGAATGACAAAAATACTCCTTGAACGATTTTCAGATGTATGTAATACTGTGAATGTGTTTGAAGAAAAAATTCATTTCATAAAAAAACGCATGAAATCTTGTTTGTATAATCTTGTGAATAGATTCATGTCATTTGTGATGCCAGAACGCTTTCATTGAATATTAATACCATTATACATAGTATAAATTAACAATTCGGTTAAAACATGATTCATAAAATCGGAACGTTAATAGAATTAAATTTCAAATTAAAACATGTCTTGGGGTTAGAGCACTTGCACGTCCTTCAAAACCATCCCAATGGAAATCCGTTTTTCCCTGTGTAAACTGAACTATTTCTCTAAAATAGTAATTGAATAGTCGACTATTCATCAGGGTAATAGTGCAAGCAACGTTACGCTGTACATAATGATATTGACAATTTGATTGACAGGTATGGAAAAGTAGTAGTTGTTATGTAAAGCATTTGCTGTGCAATACATACCACTATAGAAGTGTCATTCATGCGTGATTGACAGGGTTACAGACAGATCAAGTTGTTTGATAATCAAACAGATATTGCCATCTCGATTTGTAATAAACCACTGCGGCTTGATTGACAGCTATTGTAACGGTATTATAGTACGATCTGCAGCGACAGACCCAAGTTTGATGTTGCTCATAAAACGCATATTGTCAGTGGAAACAGTTTGTTTGAAAGCTATTACAACGTAATAAGTGTTACCTGTCAATCAAACTTTTGTGATGGGCGTATTCTGCAAGTTGCTCTTCTGATACAGTTCTATACAAAGCGTTGTGGGCTAAAGCAGTGTGGTATTGATCGTTAGAGCACGGGGCGGTCGGGTAGCCTTGTGGTTAAAGCGTTCGGTCGTCACGCCGAAGACCCGGGTTCGATTCCCGACATGGGTACAATGTGTGAAGCCCATTTCTGGTGATATTGCTGGAATATTGCTAAAAGCGGCGTAAAACCATACTCACTCACTCACTCACTCACTCGTTAGAGCACCCGAGGATTCATTGTAAACATATATGTCGGTATAAAAATGTTTTTATCATAATCATAGAATATACAATTACGTTTGAATAACATTTGTTATTAGTGAATTGTAAGAGTCTGTATCATGCGAGGCTTATGAATATAGAATTTTGTCTTCACAAAATGGAAACGGAACTGGTTCCAGTTTGTACATATTTAGCGTGAACAAAACCGCAATCCGGAACCAGTTACAACATGCAAGGGCGGACAACTCTTGAGGGAATCGATACCCCTACTTTGGACTAGACAATTTCCACATGGTTTGAAGCTAAGACAGTGCCCTGTGTTTCAATACACGATTGAATTTTAGGTGCTGTGGCCATTTTGAAACGTTGTTATTAATATTGTTAGATTTTATAATTTTTACGTTATATACAAGATCAAAGATTCAGTATTTATTTTTTACCTGATATGGGCAACTATCCTCGCTTATGCAGAGTATTATATGATCATTCTATAAGGATAAATGCCATGACCCATCGCAAGCTTCATCCTGACCCTGTTCCAGGATGTATGACCCTGAGAACAGCCATCCAATCAAATTGCACTCATGGGCGAGCGAAATTCTGTGCTATGTTAGAGTTTTGAAAGGCCTGTTTATCAAATAGAATGGAGATATAATAGCCTGGATAATTGAGGATGGTTGATAACCCAATGCAGGTATACCATAGAGGTTTCATGAAATGCACTCACCCAAATGTTTCAATAAAATAAATTTGATGTGGTTATCGCAGAGAGATGCGAGACAATGCATTGAAGTGTATGTTCAGCGTTTACTATGGCATACGTTGAAAAAACCTCCCCATCAGCAAGTAAACGGCTTTTCCGGGGTCCGTTTCGAAGGGGTTTTGGTTAAGCGTGCAGTTCTCAAAAGAATTAAATGTGTAGATTACATTTTCCTTAAAAGAGCCATAGATACATTGTAATTATATTTACAAATCTGGTTTTGCACCTCTAAAAATCTAATTTGGAAAATACATCCCAAAACCGTGAATTTATGAAACATAACCATGCAACACGCACAGAGAAGTCTCTACCCCCCCCCCCCCCCCCCCCCCCCCTTCCTCCACACACACACAGCCAAACCCCACGCCCCCTCTCCCTCCATCTCTATCATATAGATATTGTTGTGGCTTATTTATGCATGCGTGTTTATGTAGGTACCTCAATTCCACTTTACAATGTCTGTTTAGCCGATTTGTAATCTATTTCTTAAGCCATGAAATTGACAAGTGGGTGACATATCCAGCCACGCAATTGCTATAGGACGCGGCAGACATGTACAATTATTCCTCAGGGGATATGTGTATAATTATAGTAATAGCCTTGACCCACAACTCAAAGAACATAAATGCATGACTGTGTAGTGTAGTGTAGCTTACGAAATCTCAGCACGTTGTAAATACCACGCCGGGAACAGATCCATTTACCTTCCACGTCGACTTGTCATTTATCACAATTTATAGGTGTATGTGCTCAAAGGACATGCTAATGTATCGTTTATGATTTGTTTGTTTGTTGTTTAACGCCGCACTCAGCAATATTCCAGCTATATGACGGCGGTCTGTAAAAAATCGAGTCTGGACCAGACAATCCAGTGATTGACATCACGAGCATCGATCCACGCAATTGGGATCGATGACATGTATCAACCAAGTCAGCGAGCCTGACCACCCGATCCCGTTAGTCGCCTTTTACGACAAGCATAGTCGCCTTTTACGGCAAGTATGGGTTGCTGAAGACCAATTCTACCCCGGAATCTTTACGGGTCGTATCGTTTTTGAACTGAGTCAGGTTGATAAAGGCTTTTGACAACATCTGGATTGAGTCAGTGAGTCAAAATGCGTCTAAATGAACGAATGTGTTTAATAATGACACCGGGTATTTATATATGAGGTGAGGTGAAATTAGGTTTAACGTCGCGTCCAAGATTATAGCACTTTCTTAGCGACGTGCATGCACGTGTGTGAGTGGCTGCTTGTACTAGTCCGGACTGATACCGATTTATAGTG